AAGCAGAAAAAAAGCCAGAAGTGGCACTGTGGCTCGTGGTAGAGTGCTAGCCTTGAGCTGAAGATTTGAGGGACAGCACCCAGGCCCGGAGTTCAGGCCTCATGACCAGACCCAAAAAGAAAAAAATCAATGAAACAAAAAGCTGGGGATATTTTGGAAAACAAATTAATAAAATTGACAGACTAATTGTGAGATTAATGATAAAAAGAAGAGAGGAAATTTATATAAACAAGATAAGAGAAACCATAGGTAATATTATGACAAACACCCAAGAAATCCAAATAATTATAAAGTACTACACTCAAAATCTACACTCACTAAAGAAGGAAAACCGAGCAGAATTTCTAGAAACATACTAACTGCCTAAACTGAACCAACTAAACAACTAAACAAACAAATAGCATACAAGGAGATAGATGAAGTAATCAGAAGTCTTCCAACAAGGAAAAGCGGAGGCTCAATGGACTAACCACTGCATTCTGTGAGACTTTTAAAGATGAACTAATATCAATACTCCACAAGCTTTTCCGGGAAATAGAAGTAGAGGGATTAATCCCAAACTAATTCTATGAAGGCAATATCATACTCATCCTAAAATCAGGTAAGGCTCTGAAAAAAAAAGAGACAACAATTGACTAATTTCTCTGATGAACACTAATGCAGATCTCCTCAATAAAATATTAGCCAAAAAAATCTAGAAACTGCTAAAAAAAACCTTACATTATGACCAAGTAGCCTTCATCTCAAAGATGAAAGCTGATTTTGTTAGTATTATCCTCACATTTGTTCCTCAGCACCATCCATACCTAAGCACCGCCCTGCCCTGGAGTTCTGGCCAAACAGCTGGCCACTCCCTCTCTCTGTCCAGATTCACCTGAGCATGCGCCTACCTCACTTCCTGCTCCCAGACTCTCCAGCTACCTGGAGTGGAACTGATGCTTTGTGCTTCCTCTCCTTGAAATATGCCCCCTTTAATAACCTCATAATAATCTTTCTCCTGTGTCTGCTTGCCTCCAGCTTCCACATACTCCCCTGGGATGGATATGAAGGATTCCTTTCAGATTTAACATAGCTAAATCAATAAATGTAATTCATCACATCAACAGAGCCATGGGCAAGAACCGCATGATCATCTCAATAGCTCAAAGGAACAGATTAGAAGATGCAGCCATCAAACCACATATTTATAGTCATATTCAACAAAGGAGCCAAAGGCAAACAGTTAAAAAAAAATAGCCTCTTATTGGTGTTGGGAAAACTTGACAGACATATGCAGAAAACTAAAAGTGAATCCCTACTTGTCACCACACACTAACAACAATTCAAAGTGGATTACATCAGACCCAAATCTCTAAAGTACTGTAAAAGAAGGGAAAACGGCATGAGAACTCATAGGTACAGACATGCAGGAACTTCCTGAATAGAGTCCCAGGGGCACAATGGATAGGAAAGAGACTCAACAAATGGGACTACATTGAAAAAAAAGGTTTCTGACCAGCTAAGGACATAGCTAATAATCTAGAAAGACAGCCAACCAATTGGGAAAACATCATTACCAGCAATATATCAAAGGCCTACTACCCAACAAACACAATTTGCTCAAGAAATAACCCCTCCCAAAACTAATAAACAAATCACTAAATGGGCAATGGAGTTAAGGAGAGACGTCTCAGAAGGGGTGAGTGTGGCAAAAAAAAAAAAAAAACACCTGAGGAAATATTCATCATCCCTGGTCATAAAGGAAATACAATTCAAAAGAACCCTAAGATATCATCTTACCCCAGTTAGACTGGCGAATACTTTGAACTCTGACCACAAGAAATGCTAGCAGGGAGATAGAGAAGGAACCCTACTTCACTGTTGATGGGAATGTAGATTAATACAACCACTGTGGAAAGCATTCAGTAGGTTCCCCAAAATCTCAACACATGACCCAGCCACACTATTCCTATGCATCTACCCTAAGCATCATGAACCCCAATATGATAAATACTCCTGTACATCCATGTTCATTGCCACACTATTCAAAAGAGCCAGTATACAGAAACAACGCAGATGCCCCCAAATAGACGAATGGATGCAAAAAAATGTGGTAGCTCTATGCAATGGAATTTTACACAGCCTCATTCATCAGGAATGGCGTGGAACTAGAACAAATCATATTAAGTGAAGAAAGTCAAAATCAGAGAGAGAAATGCCACATATTCTCCGTGATATATGAAAGTTAGATTTATAACAGAATGGGGGGCTGGGAAGGTGTCCCAGTGGTAGAGTGCTTGCCTTGCATGCATGAGGCCCTGGGTTCCATTCCTCAGCACCACATAAGCAAAAAGAAAAAAGCCGGAATTGGAGCTGTGGCTCAACTGGTAGAACGCTAGCCTTGAGCTGAAGAGCTGAGGGACAGTGCCCAAGCCCAGAGTTCAGGCCCCACAACTGTACCCCCCCAAAAAAAAAACAAAAGCAGAATGGGACATGACAAATGATACAGGATTCTAGACACTCAAATATAGGGAGCCTAAAAGAGGATAGTCTTAGGAGAAAATCATGATGTTGTAAGTTTCTTAATATATTTACACATGTGTGTGTGTGTGTGTGTGTGTGTGACCATGTCATTACTGTTCAACTTTCTGTTAAAGTTCATCTAGTGTGTTGAGTTACCTTTCTGTTCTTTCTTTATTCTGACTCCCTCATAACTAAGTTTCCTAAAAATAACTGTTGAAAATGGGTCTGGTCAAACAAATGCCTGGTTGCAATGTATAAAATATTCTAATTACCCTTTAAATACAGGTAGGGCAAGAACTCATATTGTCCCCCTTCTCTCCATGATGGACCACAGATCCTGTCAGTACAGTGTGCCTGAAACTTTGCTTCCAAGGCAAGATGTCTTAGGGTAACAAGTCCTGAAGGACAGCCTTACTGTTGTCTCTCATGATCAATTAAAGCTACATATGTTGGTTAAGTTCCTGTCTCATAACGTTAACTTCACCCCAGGCCTTGCGAGGCAGGGAAGGAGAAGTCGAGTCCCTGGGAAATATATCTGGGTACAGTGAAAGCCAGGCATTTGAGGAGATGTGAAACTCCACCTCTCAGAATTGCTACAGCTGATATCCGGTAGTATTGTGGGGCACATTTTCTTGAGGCTTTTCTGAACAAATGGAGCTAAACCTGTGTTCGGAAAAAGGAAATACCGACAGGCCCAACTTGGTCTTCAACATATGAGGGGCAGGCAAACCGTCCAGCAGGATAGAATATTGTGCAAGGTGGTGGAGTAGGGGTCAGGCTTATATTGGTCTTAACAAGCAAACAGAAAATATGAAGCATAATATGGTCTCTTGGGGGCCCAGAGGGGCCAAGGGCGTGTGCTCTTGGTCAGGCCCAGAATAGAACGTTCTGCCTGTGGCAGGGAACTTTTCTGATAAGACCAGACTGGAATTACTCACAGTCAAGCACGAGAGCACTCACCTGGTGTTTTGGTTGACCTGGGAGAATAAGACGTCTTCAATGCTTTCACCCTAGTATTTCAAAAAGTAGGAACTCTTCAATTGGAACTACAGGTTTACGTAGATGTCTTCAGGATTCAAGGAGTTCCTGGTGACATTAAGGCCAAGAACATTTGAATTAATTGAGCAAGATGGCATGGGAAAATTGGACGGCTCCTGATATTATTCTAGCAGGAAAAAGGGGGAAGAGCATGTGTTCTAAAAAGCTTGTAATTTCACCTCGAAAAATACTACATTGTATAGGACCACAAATTAAAAGTTCAGAAGTGGCTTTCTTGCTATGCAAGAGTGAAGATATCAGTTCTATAATCTCTCATTCTTGGGATTGGAAAATGTTTTTAATTGGGTGTTGTGAATTAAATCACATGGAGACTAGTATTGAAATAGTTAAAAGAAAAAAATAGTAAAAAAAAAAAAAAAAGAGAGAGAAGAGAATTGTCAGAGAAACTTGCTAAAAATTTCCTGCTTTGGTCTGGTGGTTTGGCTCCTGTTGTGTAAAAGAGGAAATGCTTTGGTCTTAAATTGGTTTCTTTACATGATGGGATTAAGACACACCCTAGACTCTTCCGGAAATAGCAGAGGGTGTGGGTATATTTTGAGATTTCTTGTGTACCCTTCACCATATTTCAAAGTCACCACATGTAAATACATTTTACCCTTTTTAAACTAGCCAATATCGAGCAAATTGTGAACCTGAGGTTGGCCGATCTGAGCCGAGGGGCAGGGCCTGTGGCAGTCGGGATAAATAGGGTAGCAGCCTGCCTGTTCTGTGTGTTTGCTTGACGATTTTTGGCTGATGGTACACCTAGAAATATTTTCTGCCTTGCTGAGACAATTCTTTATTCTCTTTCTTTCTTTTTCTTTCTTTCTTCTGTCCTTTCTTTCTTCTTTTTTTCTTTCTTTTTCTTTCTTTCTTTTTCTTTTTCTTTTTTTACCATTATTTTATTTTATTATAGAGATGATGCACAGAAGGGTTCTAGTAACATACGAAAGGTACGAAGTATATTTCTTTTTCTAAGGTGTTATCCCTTCCCTTTCTCCTGCTTTCTGTTCCCAAGGACTGCCCCCACCCATGTTGTAAAGCTCATTTCCAACACAGTGTCTAGTGAGTATCACTGTTGCATTGCTTCCCCCTTCCTTGCTCTATGGCTCCACTTCCCTTTTCCAAATCAGATAAACTTTGATAGTCCAATGGTTTTTCAGAGCATAGTTATAACAAGGACAAACCCAACTTGTACCTGAAATTCACTGAAAGCAACAGTTAAAGGGTGGGGCCTTTTTTTAATCTCAACTCCAATTGATATGCAAATGAGTTGCACACCCTTCTCTACACACCCTTCTCTAAGCCTGCCCACCAAGTATAAAAAGAATGGAACTGTAGGGAATCAAGCTATTCCGCACATCCCACCGCCTTGCCAGGAACAGCACTTGGAGAGAGCTTGCCAGTGGTGAGGACCAGAGCAGGAGAATCAGCTCTCTCCATCCTCATTGTTTGGAAAGATGGAGTGGGACATTGCCCAAGCCTTCCAGGAAGAGCTGAGATGCCCCATCTGCATGGAAACCTTTATCGACCCAGTCACCATCCACTGTGGGCACACTTTGTGTCAACCGTGTCTGGGCCTCGTCTGGGAAGAAGCTGAGACTCCAGCCAGGTGCCCTGTGTGCAGGCAACCCTCTCAGCAAAAAGAGCTCAAAACCAACATTGCTTTACAGAGTCTGGTGTCCATCAGCCGACAAATCAGCCTCCGACAATTCCTGAGCTCTGGGGAGCATACATGCTGCACACACAAGGAGACCAAGCAGATGTTTTGTGAAGTGGACAAGAGCCTGCTGTGTCCTCACTGCTCTCCGTCTCGGGAACTCGAGGCTCACAGACACCAACCTGTCGACTGTATTACTGCAGACAAACGGAAGATTATTTTAAAGGAAATGGACACTATATGGGAGAAAATACAAGAAAACCAGAGCAATATATACGAGAAGAGGAACATCATCAACCAGTGGGTTTGGTACATGAATCTACACAGGGAGATGACCAAAGATTTTTATTCAGCACTGCATCTGGGTCTCCGGGAGGAGGAAATACGACTTTGGAGATACTCAAAGAGAAAGGAAGAGTCATCTTTCTGCAACTCAGGACAATGGAAACCCAAATGTTTCAGAAAAGCAGTAACCTCAGAAACATATATCAGGAGCTGATGAAAACCTACCAAAAGCCAGACCTGGAACTCCTGTGGCATTTAGAAGACACCCTGGAAAGTTGCGAGAGTGCCTTGCTCTTCATGCCCCAGCTGAAGAAGCCAGGGCTCAGCCCTCCTCTCATTCCTAGATTGATGGATAACCTCAACCGTTATCTAGTGGAGATCACCTATTGTCATTTGATTCAGAATCATGAAGAATCCAACTGTGTTGCTCTTTCCGGAATCCAAGAGTTCAGCTCTGGGAAACATTACTGGGAGCTCAGTGTCCAAGGCTTCTCCACCTGGGCTGTGGGCGTCTTCAGAAATTCAGCAATAGGGAGCAACCTCATTCTGAATGAATCTGAGGACATTTTTCTTCTTTTCTCTGGCAAGGGGAACATTCATTATAGTATCTTTACCACCGCTCCATTGCTTCCTCACTTTATAGAGAGACCAGTGGGCCGCATTGGTGTGTTTCTTGATTTCGACAATGGAAGTGTGAGTTTTGTGAATGCTACTAAGAATTCCTTTATCTAGAGAAACCCAACTAACTCCTTCCAGTTTCCTGTCAAGCCTTTTTTTTTCTCCTGGTAACCCATAATAATAAGAAAAGAGCTTTTCTTTCCTTTTTTTTTCTTGGTTGTGGAGATTGAATTCTGGTCCTGGGCACTGTCCCTGAGCTCTTCTGCTCAAAGTGAGTGCTCTACCGCTTGAGCCACAGAGCCATTTCTGGTTTTCTAGTGGTTTATTAGAGATCAGGGTCCCTCGGACTTTCCTGCCCGGCTGGCAGGATTCTCAGCATTCTGAGTAGCTAGGATTACAAGCATGAGCCACCTGTGACCAGCTAGTAAAGAGCCTTTCTATGTGTTGGGAACTCTATACCAGAGAACCCTTCTCAACTGAAGCAAATAACTTATGCTGTTCTTATTTGTCTTTGTAATGTAATTGCATTTTGTTATTAAATATAGAGTTAAAACAAAATGCAAGATGTAAAAATGTTAGTGCATGCATATTTAATTTCGATTCTGACATATGATAAACACTATAATAAACAGCTGATGATACAATGAAACTTGGCTTATAAGCAGCTTATTTCTTAATTGTTTCATCTTCATCTCTAATACCAGTAGCTAGGAGTTTCCATATTCCCTCTTCATTTCCACAAATGTTATTAGTTCTCTGAAGAACAAAATCAGAGTTGGCCTGACATCTTTCTGAGGACCATAGAGAAAATCTGGGCCATAAGACACTAGGCATTACCTATGTTTTCATGGTGTCTCAAGAAAGAAGAGGTTCTGATGTTTCCCAAGTAAAGAGATTAGTTAAGGGAAGAGCCATCATATTGCTTTAAAGATAGCATGCATTTAAGCTACTGTGCCCACTAAACTCAGATTAATGGCATGAGGAAGATATTAAGGACGGAATGAAAAAGATAACTGGCTTATTGATTTTTGCAAGATTATAAATTGAACACAGTACTAGAAATGAACCATACTAAATTTAGCTTGCTTACCTACAAAGCAACTCTTCACATCCAATCGTGTGTCACTGTGCTCACTTTAACAAAGGCAAAAACCCCCTCAGTGCCAGGAATATTTAATTTCCTCCTTCAAGCCTATTAGGGTTCACATTTTTATAGGCAAGCCAGATTCCTGTAGTGAGATCAGTTTTTTAAAGTTTTCCTTTTGGTTATGCATAGAGGATGTTTGGAGTGGTTGTGAGGGAAAGAAATGGAGAGAGTGGGCTTAATTGGGATATATTACATGTGTGTATGAGAGTATCCTTTCCCTTTCCCATCCCTTCCCATACTCCCCCCACCTCCACCCACCCTATCCCCCCCCAAAGTTGTAAATTCGTTTTTCGACTTAACGACTTGTACATCTCATTGTTGCAATGGGTCTACCTGTATCCCTATTTAAATGATTTGTTTTTTCCCTTCCCAAAATATTCATTCTTTAGAGTGGAGTAACTCCATAATATTTCTTCTGGCTAGTCTGTCTTCTTCATTGGTTATCTTAAAATTATAGAATTATTTACTTTTACATCTTAGAGAACATTGAATTTAGCTTCTTATATATTAGATTCAGAATGAAGGTGACCTAAGGAAAAATGTTTTGTATTACTATAGGCTGCAAACAGTGTTAGGAAATTTGCTCACATTGTCAAATATGTTCATCACAAAATTATTGAGAAGATTTTTGTCATCATTGATTTGTTTCACTTTGGCAGAAGTGGGTTATAAAATCAGGGTCTTCCACTTGCTAAGCAAGCATTCCATCACTTGAGCTACCCTGCCTGACCACCCCTGCTGTTTCTTTTTTTTCTCTGTTTTTGTTTGTAATGCTAGTGCTCATATCCAGGGCCTCAGACATGCTAAGCAAGCACCATACCATTGAGATGTACCCCAGGCCCAAGCAAAGCAATCTTATCACATCCATACAGAAAGAAATCTGATATTTTAGTACACCATGATGTCAGAATGAAGCAAGATCACAATAATATTAACAGGAGGATAAATCACTCAATGGTGATCTATCTATCTATCTATCTATCTATCTATCTATCTATCTATCTATCTATCTATCTTCCTGACCCTGGGGCTTGATCTCAGGGCCTGGGTGCTGTCACAGAGCATCTTTGTGCTCAAAGCTAGCATGTGAGGCACAGTTCCATTTCTGGCTTTTATTGAGTGATTTATTGGAGAATAGAGTCTCACAGACTTTTCCACCCCACTGTCTTTGAAATGAGATCCTCAGATCTCAGCCTCATGAATAGCTGCAGGTATGAGCCACCAGTGCCTTGCTTGGCGAGTATATCATTGTCAAGATGTGAATATGGATCAATTTAACCTCCAAAATTTATAAAACTGTTTTTATACAAACATTGGTGATATTTTCATTTTTCTATCAGATCATTTTGATTAAAATCATCCTACACTAACCTGTAATTAAAAATTGTGTACATATTATTCTTGAGTCTCTTCCTTAAATCTATACCTTTAGAAGGAATGACTCCAATCACTTGATCTTCTGTGCTTTTCTGTTCTTGCTTTTCTGTAGACAAGTACATGGTAAGACCAATTTTGTTCTCCAATTTACATATTATTCTTATAACCTTGAAAAATCAGTAGATAGCTCACTTTGTGCAAATTATATGTTTTTCTGAAATCTTTGCCACTCATACCTCCATAAAGTAGAAGCTATATGGAAAACTAATGCAAGCTAAATGGTTTAGGCACTAACAAAGTTTCAGTCAACCAAGAAATCAGACAAGGATATAGCAACATAGTAAGTCTGAAATTTATTTTAAGTAAATATGGTAGATATTCTTTTCCTGCATGTATGAAAATGAAATAATGAAGCTTATTGAGGTTTGTTTGTAAAGCTGGGAGAATGGTTGAAGGAAAAAAATGGAAAGGAGAAAGCTAAACAAGGTACACTCTATGCACATATGGACATGTCAAAATGAATGCCCATGCATAATGAGCCAATAGATTACATACAATATAATTAATAATGTACTATGGGCTAATAGATGCTCAAAATGTGAAAATTTTTTATTGTATTTTAGGTTGAAAATAATATAAGGTACAAGTGGAATTATCACTTAACTCTATATGATAACAGCCCAATTTTCCATTTACTTATCATAATTTATTTTTCAGCTTGAGAGTAAATAAAACGATTAAATTAGTTAACCATGGGATCAGGCAACAAATTAACCAGGGATTAAATACTGGCTTTACCAGCTAGCAACTGGGAGATTTCAGGTTCTTTGAGGCTACAATCTTCCATGAGGATCTACTTTGCAGCTTGACAAACTGTTGAAAATGTTAAATTACATAATAAGTACTTAGTATGAACACAATGAACACATTCTGTATTCATGAAATAAATGTTAGTTTTAGTGGTACTAGAGTGAAATTTACTTAAGAGACCTATAAGAAATTGGGACAAATGAAAGCATCGTTTACAGTTTTATCAAAGATGAGTCAATAAAGAGAAATCTGGCAACACAAATGTTCAACTTTCATGCTGTTTTCTGTTTCAGTCTACATTTTTATTGTGGTGTTCTCATTCCTCTGACAAAATTTCTGGTGTTTTTGACTTAGAGTGTTACCATTATACGTAAGCATTTCTACAAATATTAAATGCTGCCTCTTAGGCCATCATATTGTTGATGTTAATGTGGCCTTAATCACCTTCTTAAAACAGCTGCCTGAATCCTTCCGCCTTATATCTGAGTGATTGGACCATTAGTGGTAAAGAAGAGAGATGAGTGTTGATGCCAGTTTGGCTCTTGGTAGATCGTAGATTTTTTTGTTTCACGGGAAATCTAGAACAGAACTACCTAAAGTAAATAACAAAATATTTGCAAAATCTAGGGTATATTTAGGGGCTTATTAACTCGTTTTTAAAAATAGTTTTTATGTGCGTGGTTTTATTCTTAGAATTTCAGTTACTTAAGAATGGAAGTCTTAAGTTAACTCAGCAAATAATTTGAGGAAAAAAGACTTTTAATGATAGAAATTAAATTGGACAATCCTAAATGAGACTAAAATGGATGGTTCCATATTCAGAAAAAAAGTTCAATAAAGGGACTCCCAGAAGAAGTGCTACTTAAGTTGGGAAATGAAGGGAGATAAGCCAACCTATGTTCGGGAGAAAATCCAAATTGAGGATAACAGCAAAGGCAAAAAAAATCTCTGTCTTGGCAAAAGCCTTGCTCTGGAGGTATGTGGCAAAAAGGGCTTGCTATTAAAGGAACAAGAAGAGTAAACAAGGAAGAAAAATAGAACATAATGCTCCCCCAGAAAGCCACTGCATAATGTTAAAGTAGAGAGAATTGTATTATCTAAATATTTGAGTCTTTTAAATAACAGCCGTCCTGTGGGGACATGACAGCTAATGGTCAGAGTGTTGATAGGGGGCAAAAAGGTTGTTTTCATTTTCCTAGGGGTTTATACATTTTTGTATAAAAGTATGTTAACTTTTGCCAACAAAACCACACAGTAAATTA